TGGTATCTAGGGCTGAAACGATTCCGCGAATACCTCGAGTAACTCGAATACAAAAAATCATAGAAGCAAATTATTTTTCGGCTTTGTTTAGTCCATTTACTGTAGCTACACACGGAACACCGTGTTTCCCCACGGACCATTATTACTGACGCACAACCCGATAAACGCTGGAGCAGACCATAGACTGTATAAAAACAGGGACCAGACTTTTTAAAAAAAGCGCTGGACATATTTAAGACCGTAAATCAATATGGTGGCTCATTTGATCAATATCAATCGCAATGACTGACTTCTTAACAGTGACTAGCTGCTGGCGGTTTTAATTTCACATTTAAAGTATCTTTTCGTTTTTTAAATAATTTTAAATCTCAGTATTCAATGTTTTATGTTTAAAATAACAAAATATTTATGCATTTGTAACTGCAGGTTAAATGCATTCATGTCCCTCTGTGTGGGAAATTCATCCCATGCAGCTTCTGTGTTTCCTCTGCATTGCAAAGATGAATTTTGATACTGATATCATTTGTTTGGTAACAGCCCAAATGTCTTTTATTCTAATTGACTGATTAAATGTAAGAATTTGACTCAAAAGATGATGCACACAAGGTAAAAATGCCCATAAACACACACACACAACAAGTTTTACACACACACACACACACACAAGTACGTATAGGGACATTTAAGAGGATTTATTCTCCAAAAAGATCTAATTTCATGTTGCAGAAAATTGTGTTTAGCCTGACAAAATCGGCAAAAACCTCAATTTGTGGATGTCCTCATTTGTAAAACTGTTATTTACTTTTGAAATTATAAAAATGCAGAATGTTTTCTGTGGGCGAGTAAACAAAAAAATGTACTAGCCAATGGCGATTATATTGCCAAGGTGTGCGTAGAGGGTTGAAAACAAATTACTTCTTATTCGATTACTCGATGGAATAATCTGTAGAATACTCGATTACTAAAATAATCGATAGCTACAGCCCTACTGGTATCGGATCGGAATTGGCCGATACTCAGAATTTTCTGGATCGGATCGGAAAAAATGGTATCGTTGCATCCTCATTTATAAGTTCATAATATAAAGTTATAATAAAAGTTGATATAGACTACCAAATTTTATACTATACAGCACACACATACGCACACACACACAAACACACACACATGCAAACAAACAAACACAAACACACACATAAGTAGGAAAGGGACAAGAACTGGAAAAATAAGACTAAATCAGCAAATGCTACGAGGCAGATTCAAACTCTCACAACTATACAAGCAAAGTCCTTTTTAAATCCATTTTTATCCTAGCATGACAAGAAAGGTAGTTCGCAATAAGTTTTTCGTCACGCATGCATGAGCGTGCAGGAGATAAACGGTGAAGTGGGCTTTTTCTCATGCACGTATGCGTGTGTGTGTGTGTGTGTGTGTGTGTAAGAAACAGAGTTTATTTAATGAGCAAGATGTGGGACAACAGGGATTATCCGCCGCGTTGAGGGATTTGGGGAGGGAAAGACAGAGGTCTGTCCTGCTCACTCGAGCAGACTTAATAAATCTGCCCCGAACGCCCCACTCAAAACATCAGTTCTAGTGGTCGACCGATATGGGTTTTTCGTCAAGCCAAGGTAACACTCATTTTACATACAGCACACAGTGAAAATGACATGAATATGACAGTGGGCAAATGCATAAAGCGCAGCGGAATTTGAAATCAGTCACGAGTTTAAAGTTTGTCGATCGCGCGTCTCCAGT